ATTAACAGGTGTGTTGCGAGCAAGACAGGAGAAGCCATTCTTCCGCTCTCCTCTGCGCTAATTAGGCCTCAGTTGGAGCAACAAGAATGATGAAAGGTCTAGAGAGTATGAGCTATGAAGGAAGACTGAAAGAGTTGGGCTTGTTTAGTTTGGAAAAGAGAAGATTGAGAGAGGACATGTTAGTGGTTTTCAGGTATCTAAAAGGGTGTCACAAGGAGGAGGGAGAAAACTTGCTCTTCCTGCCCTCTGAAGATAGAACAAGAAGCAATGGACATAAACGGCAACAAGGGAGGTTTAGGTTGGACATTAGGAAAAAGTTCCTAACTTTCAGGGTGCTTAAACCCTGGAATAAATTGACCAGGGAGGTTGTGAATCTCCATCTATGGAGATATTTAAGAGTAGGTTAGATAAATGTCTGTCAGGGATGGTCTAGACAGTATTGGGTCCTGTCATGAGGGCAGGGGACTGGAATCGATGACCTCTCGAGGTCCCTTCCAGTGCTAGTATTCTATGACTCTAATATCCTACTTCAATAAATGAGTTAGTGCTTTAGAGAGGAGCCTAGACTTGGGAGGGGAGTGGGATCTAGTGGTTGAGGAAGAGGTGGGACTGGGAGCCAGGCAGATTGAGGTCTCCCCTGACCTCTAAAGAGCAGTGGGACACATCCCCTAGTTCAGACGCAGTAGCGGGGCTGGGTGCAGTGCTTGGACCCCCATACATGGGCTGGGTGTGCTCGGGAGCTCGGGATGGGAAACCCATGGCAGGCTGTGCCCCCCCGAGGCAGAGATGTGGGGACAGAGCTGTGTCCCTCACTCTGCACCCAGCAGCTGGGAAACCAGGGGTGAAAGGGCTGCAGGACCCCAAGAGCTCTGGAGTGGGGGCACCAGCAAAGATCTGGGGGGATCCCAGAACTGAGCTAGCAGTGGTCACAGCTTGCGTTGGAGGGGCACTAGCGGAGCTGCAGGGAGCCCAAGGCAGGGCTGGCGGGCTTCAGGAAGGGAGTGAGAGGCAACAAAAGCAGCTGGAGGATCCTAGCTGTGCTAGCAGGGATTGCGGGTCATGATCCCAGGGCTCAGCAATTAGCAGGGGCTGTATATAAAGAATGGGAGACATTTGAAATGCAGGGGGAACCCAGGGCTGAGCTGGCAGGAGCTGCAGGACGGGAGTGAGGGCACCAGCAGGGCTGTAGGAGCCCAGGGCAGGCAGGGGCTGTAGGTCAGGAGTGAGGGGCACTGGTAGGATTCGGGGTGTAGCTCTAGGCTGTCTGGGGCTATAGATTGGGAGCGAGGGGCACAGACTGCTCTGGGGGGCTAGGGCTGAGCTCGCTGGGGCTGCAGGTTGGTAATGAGGGGCACCAGCAGAGCTGTGGAGCAGCGAGCTCTAGGTTGGGAGTGAGGAGCACTGGCAGGATTCGGGCTGTAGGGCTGGGCTGTGTGGGGCTGCAAGTTAGGAGTCAGGGTCACTGGTAGGGCAGGGGGGCCAGGGCTGGGCTACCAGAGGCGGTGGGTTGGGAGTGAGAGGCACTAGCAGGGCAGGGGTGGGCAGAACTGTGTTGGCAGGAGGTGTTGGTCGGGAGTGAGGGGCACCGGCAGGACTTGGGGTGTAGGGCTGG